TAAATATCCTCAGCAGTTTTTGAGCACTTTTGCAGTCGATTTCGTCCATACTCGTTCAATTCGTTTAGACTGAAGAAAACTTCGTTCTGCTAAGGAATCCGTTAGTTTTGAAAACAGATAGTTATATCTTAATGTAAAGTTGACACTAAAATCACCAAGTGATAATCATTGGATATTCCTTTAAAATGCTCTCATATTTCATTATGCAAGATAGGTCATTATCGAAAACTATGCTACGTCGTTCTAAGTCTAAAACTTTTATTAGAAAAGTAACTAATTTAGAAAGAAATAAGAGGACTATCAATATATGCAACAAAAAACAATGCGTAATATATCAATCAGAAAATTTTGCATCTGATTGAAATAAAATTGCAAATTTTTCAATTCCTTTATTATTTGTTTTTCTTATTAAATATTTCAGGTTTCGTATTTGGTTCTGATCATATGTAAACTGAACTTTTAAAATATTTCTTATATCTGTGCTTGTTGTTCAAAGAAATGTTCCGTTGGATCTATCCGTAAATAAAAAATTTAAAGTTTTTTTAAACAAAATATGGGACGATTTGTCGGCGCACATCTTGCTATCCAATCCATCTTATTGGATTCATCATTACATGTAAGACCACACATCATATGAAAAGACTGACTGTTTAGTGGCAATACAAGCCATAATACTGCTGATTCCCTGATTAAGCCATCGTTCCACGAGTTCAACTCCCGCTTCATTTGATATTGGTATGTTTAACTTTTTACCGTCGTAATATTGCGCACCAGGCATTGTTTCTCGCGTGTATTGAATAGAACTTGAAACCGATCCAACGATAATGCCTGAACAAGTAAATGGATAAAGTGGACATGGAACTATCATAACAGCAGCGTGAGTTCATATGTCAATGAAACACGCATCTCAGGCATTACATAAGTGTTAAATTTGTTCAAGCGAACTTCAACTTACACGATGTCCATACCACAATCAATATCGAAGTCTGATCCATATGATATCTCATTGGATAATAGAACTGCAATTCTAAGCGACGATATCCTATCAAATTATTTATTTAACGTTCACTGTAAAAAGTATAATTTTCAATTGATCATTTGAATGGAAATTTTGATGTGCAACGATATTTATCGCTTTTCGACTAAATAGACGGAGATGTTGGATTAAATTGAATATTTAAAAAAGGTGAAAAAAGAGAAGACATTTAGAGGGAAATTTTCAATGATGGGACATTTAGGTATAAATAGCTTTATATCTAAGTAATAAGTAAATTTGCAATGCGACAGACAACGTGCTGAAGCAACAAAATATTCTATCGTGCACGCCACTCGCAATTGAAAACAATCCCTCGATGAGAGTCATTTTATTCATCCTAATTTTTCGTTTAAGTAGGAATTCGAAGGAAGTGTAATTCAAAATAAAAATACCATTTGATTGAGTAGCACCACAGGTTGATTCGTTATCGATAATTTGGAAAATGGAACGCCTTTGTTTAATTATATTTTTCGCCTCTTTTGAACATTGCTGTTAGTTAACGATATCGTTTGAACGTTTTAACATGATGATAAATTTGATGAAAATTATTTATGGCAATAAGAATTGTAGAAGTTCGTTTAATTGACGAACATTTTTTATCGTTTCAATTCGCTCTTAGGAATGGCTCATTTCTTAAAACTTAATTGCTAACAATTGTTTGCTCATAAATAAAACAATTATTGGAAGTTTTTTAAATTCATAAAAAACTTTAATTAGGAGTGTAATGCATATGCGTAATGAAATAAAACAAAAAACGTACCTATTGTATTTTATTGTGTTTTATGGGTGACATAAATCTTTACAAATGAATACTTTCGTCAATGAGAGTATGACAAACTATCCTAAGTTCAAAGTGTATCGTATACCCAGCTGAAAAATACTCAATTTGAAGTATAACTTTTGTTTATCGTGTCAAACCAAAATGCATTTTGAAACTGTTGATGATACGATAACACGAAGTGACTTCCTTTCTCTTAACTCTCTTAACTTATATTCATTTTCTTGCGTAATAATTTATTATAACCATCGAATAAATAAGTGATATTGAAAGTATTTTAATAATTTGCAATCTTGATTTACTTTAAACAAGAGGAGAACAGAATTTAAGCTATCTTTCAAGCCAAAAATTCTTCAAATTTTGTATAAGATATCATATGAGAATGATTTTAAATTAATCGTAAGATCATCACCGTATCAAAAAAACTAACAAATCGTTAAAATTAAAACTTGACAGCAAAAAGATGACAATTGCTTCAATTTATGTTAGGAACCCGAAATCATCTTTCAACACTAAATTTGTGTGGATACCATGGAATCAGAAATTATAAACTTCAACGCTATTATCATAGATTATTTAACAAATAAATTACACAAGTAATTATGATAAATCAATGTGATTTGCTATTTATTTCAAATTAAATTAAATTGGAATCAATCGATTTATTTATTGGAGCCGATTATTTCCTTGAATTCATTCAAGTCAACACCATCCAAACAATATAACCAGGATTCTCTTTAATTCATATAAGAATTGGTCCAATGATGGAGATAGATAAGTTTCCTGATTCTAATGAAATGATCGCTTATATCGATATCGTTCAAAACGAGAGCAACTTCTTTCTTAACTATGCCTACTGACACTGACATTTCAGAGATGGATCGATTCTGAAAATTTGAATTTGCAGGCATGCATCCAAAGTTGTAATTTAGTTTAAATTTTGTTTTTTTCTTTTTTCCAAAGCCAAGTGATTTAATATCTTCCATTAACCTTTGTGTTTTAAGTTTTCTTTAAGCTGTTCTAAAGCTTGTTTATCATCATGAATATTAATTATGTTTTGGCTGTTTAAAATCATTAATCAAAAGACTTCAGAATAATGAACATTTACTTTTCAAGTACAATGAAATAGTTTACGATTAATTAAAATCCAATATTATTAAAAAGCTATAACTCGAAATGGACCAAATTGGTATCATTCATTATTTAGTTGAATTCCGTTTGAAGTAATATCTTCCTTTCAACGAGTTTCTTTTGGAGTATTATTACACTGAGATCAAGAGCCTGTAAAAAGAACAATTTTACAATCTATGGCTTCACAATACGATCCTTTAGGATTTTTAATTTTAATTATAATACGATTCAATTACTTCTTTAAAGTCTTTGAAAGAAAATTGTAAGTGGAGAAAGAAATATGGGAAAGTTTTGTATGTTTTTGGTCGATATATATAAAAGAAATACGACGTGCGGTAATTAATCCATCGCAGCAACCAATGAAAATTTATGTTTTCACCGAATTACTCTTCCACAATTGCATGTACTTCTACGGTATACATAATTCAATGAAAGGAAGCTTTCTTTATTTTCGCGAATTACTTCCGAGATTAGAATCACTAACCACACTTTATTAAGTTTGTTTCAAATTACTGGAACTAAAAACTATAAAGATAGCATTACGGTCAGATTACAAATGCGTATTGCATTAAACACAGAATTATTCTCGTCTATACCAAAATATATGCAAAATCGCGTCGAATACAAGAAGCCGAATTTTTATTACGCTATATTCTAAGTGAATATAATCCCGTAGATGTGGCTACCAATGGATTTTTCCCTGTTCAACTTGCAAATCATGATGGGAGGAACCGAAAGATATTTAATAAAAGACGAATCAGAACATCCATACTAGGAATGTAATTTCAATGAAGTTCATAAGGGGAATAAGTAAAGTAAACGAAGTAGGAGATGAATAATCATATTTACCATAACATCGGTTCAGCAATAACAACAAAAGATTGCAGGTGGATAACTGGTATTCCATTTGACGTTCCAGAATAATAGAAATGTAAAAAATTTGAAATCAAAGCGTCGCATTAACTAAGGTAACTATATTCACTCGAATTCACATATCCGCATCAAAAGATTTAGTAGCAATGTCATTGGAGTGGTATACGCTAATGCATTCCTCAAATTATCTCTATCAGTGGTTTCTGATCAAACAATTAATTTTGCAACATCTTCCCAATTCCTTAGAGCTTCAGATAATTAAAAAGAAATAAACAGACTTGCTTTAAACCAAATTTATCCCAACAAATGGATAACGAATAATAAATGGGAAAAATACTTCTATAGATGATTACGAATGAAATGCCAATCAACAACATACTTTGTTTAATGGAAGAAGAAATGTTTCTGTATGATGAAAGATCGTTATTTATCTGATCGTGAACAACATTGCACTGTGCATTTTGCGGAATGAAACAGAAGCAACAAAGCATTGGTTGTATGAAAGAGTTGAAAATTTTGGCTCCAAAATATGAATATATGTGGGAATCAAATATGTGGAGAAAATATGTGGGAATCGTCGATGAGCTTCAGATGAACTTCAAATTTTACTTATTTTTTGATGAAAAAAAATGAAGCGATTACAACAATGAATGAATTTATAAATTTTATAAAAATTTTGTAAAATGGATTTATAAATTTGTATTCAGTGAAAAGAGATATCATTATTGTGATGATATCTCCTTGTGATATGGATAATGGTATGGAAAAAGTCAAGAATCTAACTAAACAAGAAGTAAACTTAGATATTTTGTTTCAACAAATCAATTATTTATAATGGAAATCGATTCGGAGAAAATATTCAGTCCAGAAAATATGAAATTCTAATTTTCGGCATTTTATGATTCAGTTTATCATAACAAAAAATTTGCTAAAACTGGAACAACCTGCGATCGTTAATTGAGTAGATGTCAGAACACCTTTGACAGAATAATTAGAAAGCGAGTAGAGGTCACTGAATGAACTAATGTTGGTTGCTATTACAAATAGATGATATATTAAAGGATAACCACTACTCGCTTCTTGCAAATCTTAGATTTAAAACTTTCGAATTCAAAGAAGGAATAGTATACAAATTCGAAATTGGAAGGATCAATGCAGAAATAGAGACACTGAAGCAGAAGCAAGGAGAATAATCAATTCAGTATCTTGCTAAATAAATGCCGGAACACCTTTGACAGAATAATTAGAAAACAAGTTTGGTAAAACTACTAATTTGATACAAGAAGAAGTTGCAGAATTTGTGAAGTAAATCACTAACAAGTATAAGTATTTTTATAATATCAATTGCATTGATTGCTACCAAAATTAAATTCGAATTAATTCAATTTATTTTTTGTTCATTAAAGTTTCAAATTAGTATATATATTGTTATATATTGTTGCTATACCTGTGAATTTATTACAGATCCCTTTCTCAGATAAAAAGGAACAAGAAATATCCGCGAAACAAAACACTTTTTACATTAAACCTCAAAGCTTTGTTTTCTTCAGTCGGAAAATATATTGTGAATCTTTTTCGGAAAAACCCTTTTTGAGAGAGAGAGAGAGAGAGAGCTTTTGTGGTACAATTAAATTGTAATGAAAGGTATTTGACAGAGATTTTTTATTCATTATTGACGCTATAATACAATTATCAAGAATTATCATGAATAAGAATAGTTGATCACTCGATCGTTCCTCTTTATGGTTGATTCGGGAGAATAATTTAGGGGCAATTCATTGAGGTAGCGGTTCAGAGGAGTGCAGATGATAAGACTGCTTTGTTTCAGAGCATTATACTGGAATACTTCTTGTCGAACGGTGCTATTAATAAAATATCCTTGGGAAAATTAAAATAAACAATTGGTTATTTCAAATATAAAACTAATGGTATAAACAAAGGGAAGCCCATTTAATTGAGAATATATGATATAAACAATTGCTATGGTATAAATTTATATAAACCATTGTATATTACATAGTTATTTCAGATTTCCGACAAATGTTTGTTAAAAATTCAAATTCTTTTGCTCTTTTTATTCTTCCACTTAATTCCTTCCCAATGATATTTTTAGTTTCAACATAATCTTTCCACAGAAATAAAATTATTATTCATTTACATTGAATAATGTATTCTTTTATTTTCAACATTATCAAATGCAATAATAAAATAAACTTATTTGTTTCATTCTTTTTCTCTATCCTTTCTCTTTTGTAATTCTTAAAATGAGATCAAATACTTCAATAGTTCCAACTGCCTCCTCCGTCCATTTTTTTTAAAGTTTGCAGAAAATAAAACGATAAGTGAATATATATTGATTTATTATTATGTGTCGTATCATCACTTTTCATCAAACTGCAACAAAGATGTATGAAGAATTTACAAAATTTACTGAGTGCTTCATAATTTTGCATAAATAAAAATGGCTTAAGATGAAATAAAAGATGGTACAGAAGGTTCCGAGTTGATGAAATATGCTTCCAGCATTGTTGCAAACTCTTCCCTAATAGTTCACTTTCAAGATTTCCAGGCATCAAATATCGAAGTGAATAAATTTTGCTTAATAAAATAAAATTAGATGTGAAGACAATTGAACTTTAAAAATTGTTCCGAACACTTTTCTCATTTCTATTCGTAACTACTGATTATGTTAAACGAAACCATCGTTATTTTTTGTAGAATTGAATTTTATTGCTGCTCTTTCCTCTCCAAAACTGACCACCGTTTCATACCTCAGCAGATTTCAATGACAATATGGTCTGTCCATCGTTTGTCCTAGAAAAAAAAGACCGAAATACTGCCTTTACCGATACATCATATCGGGGTGATCGATTATCGTCCCGCAATTATATTACATCAACAAGAGAAATACATACAATATTTTTAGGAAGAAAACATGTATATTGAGAAAAACGATAAAAGATTTCAGAACTGATATTCTTTTTAAATTAATTAAAAGAAATTATTCCAAAATGGAAAAAAATCTAAAGTTATATGAAAGATATGTGATATGTTATCAGCTTCCTAAACTTGGTGAAAATAATACCGTGACACCTTGACCAGTTGAATTAAATGATGGTGAGAAAGCATTTGGTGAAAAGATCATCGCAGAGATGAAAGATGGTGAAAAATAAGAAGGTGAGAATGCAAATGGGCTCATGATTAGACCGCTTAATGCCGATGGTGAAAAGATGGAAGGGCTGAGAGCAAATGGGCTCATAATAGCCGGTGAAAGTACAGATGGTGATAGAATATCCGGTGATAATGCGCTTGGAGATAAGAGGGATGTTGTCAGTGCGCCGGGACTTAGAATTCTCGGATTTAGAGCAAATGGTGAAAGGACAAGAACAGCTAATGCTGCTGGTGACAGGATCGCAGGACTTAACACTTTTGGAGATAGGAGGGTGGCGAGAAATGCACTTGGACTCAGTATAGAAGCACCGAAGATTGATGGAGCAAAAAGTGTTAGTGAAAACATTGCGGGTGATAAAACGGCTGGTGAAACGTCAAAAATATCTTCAGGTGCAGGAGTAGTCGTGCGACATTTTTCACATTCTTTTCGCCCTCTAGGTCCTCTTCGCACTCTAGATCGTTCTAGCCCGTCAGGTTCTTCTCGCGAGCTCTCTCGTTTCCGGCGTATTTTCAATTTAGAATGCACTTTAGCCATATTACGGATATCATTAAGGAGATGACGGTGCATATCATCCTCACTTAATGACATGAAAAAATCCAACGCTTTGCTGTTATTTAGCGGTGATTGCGGGCCATAGACCATAACCAATTGTTTTGGGGTCATCATCGAGAATCCGGTTGTATTGAAATCCATTAACTGGATCATATGGTATTATTAAAATTGATCGAAATAAGAATATTGGTCATTTTCATTCATATGTAACTCAACGTTAATAATATTTATTCATATGTAAACTTAATCTATTTCCGGTAATGTTTTCGAGATTAAAATTTCAATGCAACTCATTTGAAAGTTCTTCAAATTCTTTTTTAGGACAGTGTAAAGGGTCATTTATAAGTAATATTATAAGAAGAAGAAAACCTGTTTTGGCGTAAGAGAACGTGTTAAGTTTTCAAAAACTTCCATCTTCCTGGCCATTTCTGGATCAATTTCTGTTACGTTTTCCTTCGTAAAATACATTGGTTGACCATCAATTCCACGTGGCATTGATTTATAACCGGGTGGTAACCAATCTAATCCTTGCTGTTCCTGAATGTTTTTCAGGAAATTTTTAGTACAAGATCTTTAGAAAATAAGAAATTCGAACCTTTAATTTATGTATTGCATCAGTTGTACCGGATGCTTCCACAATGAAATTAAGCCATTCATCGTAATCTCTGTTACCCATTATTTTGAGTAATTTCGGAATACTTGTTAGTGCTTCCAAACCTTTGCCTTTATCATGCATACTGAACAGCGAGGGAGATAAGATGCTAATCTGAAAGATTTCTTCATTTGGTTAAACTTAGCAAAATTAAAGAGTAAGTCGTTCAAAGAAAGAAATTGCAAACGGTCAAGTGCAGAAAATGAATTTTAAGAATATACAGTCTTTATTCATTGCACCGGACTTCATGAACTAGTGTGTTTACCTGATCTTTAGTATTATCAGGTACCATTGATAACAAACGTGGCGAACCAAATCTGAGTGTTTTATTCTTCAGTTCGGTATCATTAGCACCACTAAGAACCATCGCAAGTTTAACAGCTCGTTGAAAGAGTTTAATGATTTCTAAAGTCTCTTTTGTTTTCACATTGCTTTTATCCAAACCTTGCAAGACACGATTTGATATGCGTAATTCCTTTGCCAAATGTTTTTCATCCTTAAAGAATAACTTTTTCTCGAATGCAATTGGAATTTCACTTTGTCACATTCATTGTCATCATTCTGCTATAATTATTGTATAATTTTTCCATCAGAATAGGAATGAAGCAATCTTTACGGTGCATTTACCCGAACGAAATTCTTTATAAGTACTCACCGGTATTAGCTTTGGCTTCACTTTTCCAACATTCTGATTTAATGAAAATCGTTTCTGCAACTGTTCAGCGAAGTCATTTTTTTCTTTTTCTCGTTGTTTCATACTTTCGATATCGTACATCATCTTTTTCCATCTAAATTACTGCGCTCTTTTTTGAAAATTTGATTCGAGAAATGAATTTTTACATCACCAAATGCGGCAACCTGAATCACTACAGTTTCATTTTGTATTCAAAGCTGACCGATTTCTGTGTCACAGTTTTGTTCTTTGCAATAACAATTTTCAAAGAAATTATTTTAAAACTCGAAACTAACGATAAATTCGGATCCTTATTTTTGATAACTCTTGTCATCTTCGATAAGTGTTTGCCAAGAATGCCGAAAGGTGTCAAGTGTTCATATTCGGTATGCAACTTATAATTGTGTCGGTTGATTACACTTCGTCGGGTACGAAATTCCGTCTGTTTCTCTTTTTTATTTCGCTTCATGCCGATTCGATGTGATTCAGATTGCATTAGAACATCGGCTGTATCCTTTTGCTTTCCATCCAATAATTTTTGCAGCTTTTGTAGATGAGAAACTGTACAAGGAAATGATGTAAATGTTCTAATGAAGTATTAAATTAATTAATTATCATTCTAATGCGTCAAATGACATTTCGTCCAGGGATAAAATATGCATTATTGATAGAAATGCATGCGATGCACGCAGCTTTTTGTAGGATTGATCTGTAAAATTTCCTACTATTCAGGCAATTATAACTCCTGCTAGAGGTGTGGAGAATTCGTATGGCACAATAACGATGCTTACTTCTTGTAGGATTTGTCTGCTTCGGCTTTGCATCAATGGCTCGAATCAAGCAGTGTGCCTGCTCATAAATATCCTCAGCAGTTTTTGAGCACTTTTGCAGTCGATTTCGTCCATACTCGTTCAATTCGTTTAGACTGAAGAAAACTTCGTTCTGCTAAGGAATCCGTTAGTTTTGAAAACAGATAGTTATATTTCAATGTAAAGTTGACAATAAAATCACCAAGTGATGATCATTGGATATTCCCTTAAAATGCCAATACATTATTTCATTATGCAAGATAGGTTATTATCATAAACTATACCACGTCGTTTTAAGTCTAAAACTTTTATTAAAAAAGAAACTAATTTAGAAAGTAATATGAGGACTGCGAATATATGCAACAAAAAACAATGCGTAATATATCAATAAGAAAGCATATTTGATTCATGTAAAATTTCTAATTCCTTTATTATTTGTTTTTCTTATTAAATATTTCAGGTTTCGTATTTGGTTCTGATCATATCGTCTGTAAACTGAACTTTTTTAAAATATTTCTTATATTTGTGCTTGTTGTTCAAATGAAATGTCCCATTGGATCTATCCGTAAATTTTTTTTAAAACAAAATGTGGGACGATTTGTCGGCGCATATCTTATTGGATTCACCTTTACCTGTAAGACAACAATTATATGAAAAGACTGACTGTTTAGTGGCAATACAAGCCATAATACTGCTGATTCCCTGATTAATCCATCGTTCCACCAGTTCAACTCCGGCCTTCTTCGATATTGGTATATTTAACTTCCTACCGTCGTAATATTGCGCGCCAGGCATTGTTTCTCGCGTGTATTGAATAGAACTTAAAACCGATCCAACGATAATGCCTAAACAGGTAGATAGTAAAATGGACATGGAACTATTATGACAGCAACGTGAGTTCATATGTTAATGAAACTTGCATCTTTGGTGTTACGCAAGTGTTAAATTTGCTCGAGCAAACTTCAACTTACACGATATCCACACCACAATCAATATCGCAGTCTGGTCCATGTGATATCTCATTGGATAATACGTTGAGAACTGCAATTCTACGACACAATATCCTGTAAAATTAAGCGAGTTGACGTTTGTTGCAATTTTATATTTAGAATAGATTTGTGATCGTTCAATTTGTAGAGCTAAATCCCGAGCGAGTTGACATATGTTGGTGCAAAAAGCTTCTTTGAAAGCAAACGTAAAGAAGTGAAAATTTTTCAGCGTACCTGCAATGATTAGCTATAAGCAATCCTTTCTTTAGTTTTCATGCAACTTTTAGGAATGCTTAAAATTCATATTTATAGCCTATTAGACTATTTTACTTAATAATTTAAAGTTTTATACAAATTTTGAGGACTCACTTATTTAAGGATATTCTAAAATACTTTTTAACTTATATTAAATAACCACTACAATATGCTAACCAAAACGTGTAAACTTTTGATTCTCTCTAAACGCTTATCACTATCAGGAGAATATTCTTTATCCAGAAGATATGTTTCCGAAATTGTTGCTAAGATGTATTTCTGTTGAGATGGAAAACTAAATTGTTATAATCGGGTCAAAGTTGATCCTTAAAAGAACAGCATTAAACTTCTCTTCTTCTCAATCTTCTTTGAAAAACTAAACTTCATTTTTTTTTTTCATTATGTCCTAATTGTAATTCAAATTGTAACACTAAGTGACAGCAAAATGATAGGTTATTAAAAGGAATTTAGAGAGTATTAATGAAATATATATTGTTGATAAAAGAGTGTCAGTAAAAAAAAATGGAACTTCTTTGTGATTAAATTGCAATGAAAGAATGTAAGAAGGAAAATTAGTTCAATAGTTTAATAATGCACTACTGATCAAATCCAATTACTCATTTCTTACATTTCTAAGTAATTTTTTATCAAAAGGTCAAATAAAACATTTCCATTCAAAAAAAAAGAAAACATTATTATTATCATTTTCGATTCTGTTCATTTAAATGCCTATTTGTTCAATTAATTTTTCCATATCATTGTTGACAAGCAATCTTCAATTTTCACAAAAATTTCAAACTCAGATATCCTTCGACTTTGTTGAAATTTCTCTTACTGCAAGCATCTTTTCAGTGGTAAAATCTCTTATTACGACAATTGCTTTTTCATACACTTTAAAATTTAACTCTTTTGCAATTCAGTATTTTAGTATTGTCTAATTACTTTATATTTCCATCTTCTGAGTCTAAATCTCTTCATCATCTGGCTTAATTTCTTTTTTCTCTTTATAGCTAATACTTTTGATAATTTCAGTTATCTGCCAGTTTAATTTCCAATTTAGATATAAATATGAACGAAACCAGAAGTGGTTATCAGATTCCGATGATATAATTTCCAATTCAGATGCAAATATTTGCAAATATGAAGTTAACATGACATAATACAAAAATATGAACTATATCGGAAATGATTATCAGATTTCGATGACACAATTCCTAATTCAGATACAAATATGAACTGAACCGGAAATGAATGAATCTAAATTTTCCTTTCGCTCTAAAGCTATTTATAAAAATAAACAACGAACAATCTTTTATTAGAGTTTAAAAAAGTTTCGAAAGCATAACAGACGTTAATAAAATCTTTTAATTATGCGGAATTAATGAGATAAAAAGAAACCAAAAGATTGCTTCACATGAAATGGCCAATTCTTGAAATTTTGCCACCTTATGAGGTGCTTGACGGATATTACATCAATTCTAATAGTTTTTTAAAATACAGTAAACATTATGTTAAGAAGCAAAGATACCATTTTTTCGTATATTGATAAGCTTATAAAGGATCAACGACAGATGTGCCAGATGATGGGAAAATAATATGATATGGACACTATCATATCGTATCATGGGGGTTAAATGCTATGAAACAAGCGGATTTTTGATTGCTACTAATCCTTAAAAATTCCTTCAATCGTAGGAAAAACTAATAAAAATGTACAATATGCACTTTTGCCGTATTTTAAATCAAAATTAGAATGGCGAATATTTTGGATGACGTGATAATCTCTCACGCGAAAGAATCAATATTACGTGCCGTCTCACGTTGCAATTGAAAAGAGACTTGCGTTAAGTTTGCATTATGTTATCACATATTAGAATCATACGTCGTTGTTTTGGTATGCTGTTGAAAAAGCTTCAGTTATGATTTTTTATTCGAAATTTAGTTTGAATTAAATAAAGTTCAATCAAACGTTCAATCAATAATATTGTAATAATGTAGTTCTAGTGATCTCTTATACGCTATCGAAAATGAACGTGAACTTTGATAAAGATCTGATTGCGATGGTTGCTTGGGTGATTCGCTTTTCCGACATCGCTTTTCCGATATCATAAATGATTCGCTTTTCCGATATCAGTGTGATTGTGGTAATGATAAGAATAATGCTTAACACTAAGCAGTATCGTTGGAATTTTATGTTTTAGGTCGAACTTTTTGAATTCGCTTATTTCATAATTCATATCCATGGTTTACTAAAAGATATTGGGACTCTAATGATTCCCATGTCTCAGTCCCAAAGTAAATAATCAGTGAGTTAATATCTCTTTCCCATCATTATTATCATGTATTGCTTATTGTAATTAATAATAATGATAACAGTAATAATGATAATATCCTCAAACTTTAGAAAATCTTAATATACATTCTATTTCTACCAAAAATATTCATTTTTGACCTATAATCCATAAATAAAACCTGTCCAAATCTAATGATAACAAATTTGATTTTTGAAAAATTGAAATATTGACCTGTTTTCAATTATCATTAGTACATTTCTTTCACAACTCCAAAATCATTCTTCTCTTATGATAGATTAATTCGTCTTACTAAGATCATAGTCTATGGAACTGTTGTAGTTTAGACCATAAATTTTGATTTAACCAATTCACTGTGGTGGTATTCTACTTTTGTGAAAACTTAATAAATATGTCAAATTATTAAAAGTTTTTATTGCTATCATTTGGTAAACTCTTTTCTTTTACTGAACAACTTAAATAGAAAAACAATGATTTGCACTATTAATTATGCTAATAAATGGATTTTCGCAAATACTGCAAATTGCTTTTTAATAAAATATTAGCTTCTCCAATAAAATCCCATTATTTAATACTAAGCATTTGAAAAGTGTTTTATGTAATTTATATCAATTTGAATGTTTACAATGAAAAAGTATATCTCAAGCTTTCAAAGATATTCCGATAAATATTTATTAATTGAGAATATTATTTTATTAAAAGTTAATAAATCCACTCCATCAATAAGCTTTTGTCACTGATTGGAATTTCTCAACCAACTTTACTTGGTAAAAGCAGAAACAGAAACACTCATCTGATCCAAATGTTTCATTAATATTCATACTTCAGAAACCACAATTTTTTTTTCATGATTTAATATAATAGTATTAAAACTATTAACTCGATCTGAACTCCTATACTTCGATTATGATGAAAATCATGATCATGATTATTCGATTACCCGATTATTCGATTATGATCATGATTATACGATGATATCTTAGAATGGGCAGCGGTTGTCATTTTTTTCCTCCAAAAAAATTTGTGTTTTTCTTTTTGTTGAAAATATTTCACAAAGAAAAATTTGTAAAATAAAAATTATTTTTGTTAATTTTGAGGATGAAAGAAAAAGCGACGAAAAAATTTCTAAGTGTGATTTTCCACCAATTCTAAGAAATTGCGGATTAATTAATTTTAAATTTTAGGCTACTGAAATCTCTTCAGTAAAATTTTAAAATACTTTATTGCAATAATTGAATATTACACATTACAGTTGATTTGTTGTATAAATCGAAAGTAAAATGTTGTACACTTTACACAATTTAAACTGATAAAAAATATTGGATAATGATTGATCGATTAATTTGAAGCAAATCAAATTGGATTAAAACAAATTATAATTTAACAAAATCATATCAAAACGATTGAATATGTCATATAGTGTCTGCTCTTTGAAAAATTGTTGAATTTACTACAAATTTTAAATTTACATCACTTTTGCAAGTATCATCTTATTTGAAAAAATCTAAAAACAAAAGAATTACTCCTGCAAAAATTAAAAAAAAATAAATTTAATTTTCGATTGAATTAATTTAAATTAAGTTAAATGAAGCATATCCTGATCTTCGAATCCAAAACAAAGTGCTATATATTCATTTGTTCTGAATTAATGCATTTTATCAGTATCACTGTTATCGTAATCCATCTGATTTTTTGAAATGGATTTTAAAATTGGTAATTGATGGGATCAAAAAGTTTTTCATTTTTCATTTAACATTGCATTCAATGGCGAAGAATGTGAAAATTTGTGCAAAAAGAAATTCTTTGATATAAAAGTTGAAAAGCTTTTAGAAAGATGATAAATTGAAATTTGCTGATAATACCAAACAAAATAAAATTAAATTCTTATTCATTAACCAATAATTTATATCACTGATATCTAATTTCATTCCATTATTCTAATCAAAAATTTGCTAACTGTTAAATGATAAAATAATCATTTCAATAAAGAATAGGTGTTAATTGCATTTATATCGCTTCGTTCTCTGAAATAGATGAGATGGAAGGAAAGTGTTCATTAAAATTTTTGAGGTCAAAAGGGCAAACAGTTAAAAAATTGCACTTTGTGAACCCAATATTTCATCATCATGTCCTCATCATCACTTTGAATAACTTCCAATTTCATTGATACAGAAAAAATGTAAAACGAGAAAAATTCTTTGTTGAAGCGAAATTGATGGTTCTTCTTCACGATATCATTAATATCTACAACGTAATAATTCATTAAAAGATATCTTAGAACAATTTAATTAGAAATCACTACAACAAATATTGTTTAAATTGTTGCAAATTTCTTTCTGTTATAATTTCTATTTTTCACAAAGACTACAGCTGATAATTATCTAATCAGTGACCACTTATAATCATTTAATCAGTGGCCATTTATAATCATCTAATCAGTGACCATTTATAATCATCTAATCAGTGACCATTTATAATCATCTAATCAGTGACCATTTATAATCATCTAATCAGTGACCATTTATAATCATCCAATCATTCAATTTGAGCAAAAACAATCAGCAAGAAAAATAGAGAAATGATGCTTATTCCATCCGAAGCCTTAAATTCAACTTTAATTTTTTTTTAATTTCATGATAGTTAAGATGTATATGTGATATGAATTGTTAGTGGCTATTTGTCATGGATAAAATGTTCAGTAACCGAACTTACGATATGCATAGAAACTATATGCGCATATAGGCATTCATGTAAAAATGATAAAAGTACTGGGCGCTATTAGCGCCATGCCGATTATATGCATGATGAAAAAGGCACCGTCGAAGCCTAGCTGTAACGTAGATTGAGAGACAGGAAGAGGGAGAGAAAGTATAACAGAACATGGAATATTGAAACAGACAGATCTGTATGCCCTGTCCATTGTTTAAAACTTATTTAAAATTTCATGAATGGTGTGAGAAGAAGAATTTCAAATAGTTAAGGCAATGGGCCGTATTTATTCATTGATTTTTGATTTGTAGCGGGAGAAGATGCGGGATGTTTCGGGGTTCGTTGTAGGTTTTATTGTTTGGAATATTTTGACTTGAAATTAAAATCATAATTGTGATGCCCTTCTGAGTCATAATTGTGATGTCAATGAAACTTCTGCCAATTGGAACTGAAGGAACAGTTGAAAAGATTATTCAATTGGGTCCCACGAAATTCATAGAAATTTCACGACATATATTGGAAAGAATACCGGATAGCATTGATATCTCAGATGTGTTGAATACAGATGAACGAGAAAGATTACTCGCCGAATTACAAAATGATTCTGCATCAGAACTTGCTGTTTTCGTAAGTTCGTTGCTTTTTAGATTTAAAATTTTAATTTTTCGAAATTCATTTGCATGAAGAGGATTCGATTGCCGTTGTCTTAAGTTTTTATGAATTTAGTGTAACGAAATTGTTTTAAATTCTTTTCGAAAGTTTGGGCTTAGAATAATGAGAATTTTTCTAATACTTTCAACTTTTTCAGTATTTTTGTAATTCTTCAGTCACTAACTTAACTTCTTTATCCTTGCACTTTCTTACCAGCTGCTAGCTAACCTTCCATTTTAAGAAATATTTAATTCTTCACCATTTCCTTGCTTTTAGCTTTTGAAAATTTTGCTAAAAAAAATTTAAATTTTCTGCGAAAGGTAAAAAAAAGTACGAAGAAGGTGAAAAAAAAAAGGAGAATGGATAAAACAATCACAATTCGTCAATTTTCAGTTGACTATAAGCGAATTATGGAAAAACATTGCATATTGTCAGCCTAAATTGCAGCCATTGCTTGAGAGTCTTAAGGAAGTAAGTTTGTGAAATTTTTGCTTATTATCATATTACTTCTGCTTATTATTGCACGTCTCACTTCTAAATTTAGTAGGAAGCGATGTAGCATTTCCGAATTTACAGGTTTATTCATTCATGTAGCAGCTCCAGTATTTCCAGATTGGATTTGGTGATGAAATGAGAAATGCAGTCGTAAAAATCTGGTCAGAAAGCGGCTGGACAGTTTCAGACCGGTTACGTAATATTTCATTTTCTGGACGTCCCAATGTTAGAGATGTGGGGTGGACGCTACGCATGAATGTCGCAAGGTAGTTAATTTTTTGGACATTAAAACTTTTTGGCTTTTTTGTTTTTCAGTTAAAGGTAATAAAATGCGTAACTCACTTTAGTTGTCGAGTAATCTGTCATTTCGTAATATACCATTTGAATATTATTCAGAATTAAGTAAATGAATTTAGCATAAACTTCTCTATGTTATTGACTTATTTCTCCTAAATCCCATCCTATTTCTTATATTCATAATTGGAATATTTGTTTCCAACAAAAATGAATTAGTACCAGGCCAATATTAGTTTTTTCAGATGAGATTTAAAACATAGGGCAATAAAATTTATTCTTATTTGTTTAGCCATTCATTTTCATGAATGAAGCCTTTGTGGTATCACATGGAGATGAAAGTGAAACGAAAAATACGTAAACGGTCTGAAAAGTACCGGTCTATTATCAGTTTCCTTAATTCAGCATATTATGGGGGCGTTCCAAAGCGCCGTAATTTTTTTTTTAATAAATATTTTGTTAAGGAAAATATGGACATTCTTGAAGTCATTCATTCATATTTGCATTTATCTTTTTAGTAGCAGTAATCCAGTGATGCGTACTGCAGAAGCAATTCTACAGTTTGATACGGACCGGGGCTCAAAAATTGTCGAGCTGAGCAAAGGCAAACTTGTAGAACTTTATATGACATTGCAAGAAGTGCAAAAAAGTTTGGATGTTTTGCTTGAAAGGTAGCAAATATAATTGTTTAGAATATTCCTCATGTTTATTATCAAAGTTTGCTTGGGTTTGTGATGGTGATTAGGATCGCTCGCCAAATGTTAATATGGGTTGAAATAAATTTGAATTTCACTGATAGATTTTTATGGTGAGTAGGAGAATATCGTGACTATTTTTTTGAAATGAAAACTTTGAACTTACTAATAGTATTAATTAGCATTTCCATAGTCATGTCACTGTTGTCGCTTTTGCTATTATATGTTCATAATACAGTGATCCAAGAGTTAAGAGCAGTAACTAAGATTATGGTAAGAAATTATGTCGTCCACACTTCTCGTCCTAGTTCATGGATTTTGTTCTTAATTATGCCTTCAATAATAAACGATCATCGATCATTTTTAATTTATAAGGACCTCATCTTTGTTTACTATAGGTTGTTTACGTCTTTTCTTCTTTAAATATAAAAAACCCTGGCGTGAATTACAATGTATTAAAGTGTAAATTGGGGTTATAGTTTCTGCTTAATTCATTTTCTGTCAAAGGTCAGTCATAGTCAATTGTTCCAGTCGGGATTCCGAAAGTGCATTTATTCTAATTAATATGATACTGAAAGTTACGGTATAGAAAAATACGAAGTGAACATAACTGAAGTATAAATGAAACTGATGGAACCAGCGAAAAAAGTTGCAAGTTTTAGAATTTTTTAAGAGGAAGTGTTAATGTTTAGGATTGATGGTTTCTCTCATGCCGGAATAATAGGACGTTTTCTTCATTGTAGTGCAGGAACTGTACTGCATAACTATTTGGATCCTAAATTTATTATATAAGTAACTTTGCAGCTGCAGCTGCTTCTAATTTATGACAAGGTTCAGTTAAAGTTAATTATGGGCCCTTCAATGGTCATGAACTCCTAGTTGATCTGAGGTGTAGGTGGAGTAGAACGAAACTGGCTTTTTTTTTTTAATTAAGCTGCATTTCGGATGATTCAAGACATGAAAGATTGCTTTATCATGAAATAACAGTGAAAGGAAATGAAAGTGGTGGAAAGCATTGAAACTGCACGTGCAGGCATTTAAAAGCTTAAAACTATTTCTTCAAAGTCCAGTAAATCTAATTGGTTACAGCGGAAATTGAAAGTAATGGGAGGAAGAGTATCGAAATGGGAAGATTTGATATCGATCTGAGAGCTAGAAATGTCGATGAATTTTGAAGTGCTACTAGGAATTGTCGTCTATGTTCGAGGTTCGAAACTTTCCAAATACTCCATCTAGCATGTACAGATCATTAATACACAGTTTGTTTGATTTATTACAAATGAATTAGTTGCAGGGTTATTTCAGGCATTCGTGGGAGACACAATCTGCAAAGCACTATAAAACAATTTGAAGAAGACACTATTACAGTGTATGACAATACTTCAATGGCAGCTCAAAAAATCAATCGTAAGTTCAAATTCGAAATTTAATACTTCAGTTGAACGGATAACCTATTATTTCCATCCATATCGTTAAAAGGAGTTAAATCAAAGCAGAAAAAATTAGAGGAACTTAATTATTCCCTTCAAGACTAATTCTCCCGATAATCTCTCATTCGAATGATTTCTTATAAATATTTGTTCCATAAATCTTAGCTTAACTACAAAGATCAAATTCTTTCTCCCTTTTTAAACGTTCTGAAATCACCTTAAGTAACGGTTGCCATCAACGTATTTAATTAAAGGCAAAAATAAACGACCAAATAGTTCCTTCAAACGAACACATAACAACAGCAAAAATCTTTGTTGCATTCTGCAGGCATTTACGGAGAATAAACAGGAAGATACTTTCTATCAGACAAAATTAATTTAGAAATTTCCATCCTTGCTATCATGATTACTTGATTTCGTCTTAGAGAAGTAATTCATATATGTTGCTCATTCCGGCAGCGACTTGCGCATTATGTTATTAATTTGAAAACTTATTCCACTTGAAAAACTATTCAAAAAGATAACATCTTAGGCTTGCAACAATGCAAACTTTTGCAGTAAGAGAAAGAACTAAGCTATTTTAGTTGACATATTTAAAACAGTTTTGTTGAGGTCTTGGCATCAACGACCCCTACGTAATATATTCATAATCGAGATGTTCTTCTGCATACGTATTTTTCATTAAGAAAAGAATGACAAAAATAGAAAAGAAAAAAACAAAATTCAAAATAATATTCAACTTGTGATATTCATTCGAAAAGAATGATCAGTAATAACTTTTCGACAAAATCTAAAACCTCATCATTTCAAAAACAAAATAAAGATCTTCTTTTATTTTACAGCCGTTAGAAGATTAAAAAAAACGAGTTTGTCGAGCTATATATGAAAATAGCTTTTCCAAGAAGGGTACATTTATGATTATTATTATTATCTAGCACAAAAAAACATGGCAAAGGACCATATAAATACGAGAAGTTGAATTTGAAAGGATAGAAAAGTTGGAAGGAATTAACTAAGGAAACTTCATTATTACATCAAAATGATAAAAAAATTATTTAAAAATAGTTTAAAAAAATATGAAAAAGATCATATGCAGAGATAAAAAGATGTCCAAATTATGCGAAACCCCGACTTGGAATACATCATTGGAATCAATCAGCATTTAAGGCACCACATAACGCTGTGGACCGTTGTGGCGAAGACCAAAAGTAATAAATAGCACGTTTGTGATATGATTGACACCTTTTAAAAAGCCATTCAGCAAAAAAAAAGGTCAATTAATTTTCGGAATAAATTATCGATTATTGATTAAAGAGCTAGGACAATATAGCCCTATGTGATAAACTGATATACGTCAAGTAATGAGTTTGTATTAAAAAATATTCATCAACTTTATGCTTAGTAATCAATTCTACATATTTAGACTCGGATGCATCCGAAAAATCGGATAGATCCTAGGATTCATATTTGTTTAAATTGAAAAATCAAATTTTCGAAATTCAAGAAAAATTCTATCGAATGAATGGTTTAACGGTAGGATTTGAACCTTTCGGAAAGTAATATAAAATTGAAAGCTCCTATTAATATACCTTTGAACAAAGTCTATATTAACTTATCTAAGTTTATTTCATTTATCACAGAAAAGCAAAAATAAAATATCCCAGCTGTGTTGTTTGCAAATCATTTAATAATAATAAGCACTGCGATAATCAAATAAATTACTTAATTACTCAGCTCCATTATGTCTTACTCTGAAGTTTTCAACACCAATGCAATTTTGAATGCTGAAAGCACTACCGTAGGAAAAGACGGCAAAGAGCAGCAAGTAAGATAAGAATAAAAGATATCACACTGCTTAGAGTGTGGGATTTGATTATTGAAATTTTATGATTCAGAGTGTACAAACTTGGGGGAAAAACTTCGAGATGTGTAAAAAGATCTTGTATACTGATAAGGCAACAATTTAGTAATAATTAAATATGGACTAATAGGTAAGTTCCAGAACAAAAGATCGTCAATTTCTGACTACACAATCTGAAAAGTGTTTTGAGAAAAAGAGTAAACAGTGTTTACAATTTACTGAAAATGTTGCAGAAGGATAAAATGACTACCAAGCTTTGAACAGCATGCACGACAATGATGAAAATTTTCGAGCAGTAAGCTAGTAAGAAAGTGACATACACATGTATACGCTCTATAATTACTGCAGAAAATGACTAGAACTAGAAATGTTCGAAATGTTCTTTAAATGTTTTTCAAAGACTAAATTAAACTATACATATGAAACATAATCATGTATGCAAAAAATGAAAAGTGAAAAGATATTAAAGTCAAAAGAGATCTATTCGGTTAAACGGATGACCAATCCTATTATAATACCAATAGTTGGCATAATTTTTAAACTATGGTTCAAACTATATCTTCCAGGTTTGGAATTCCTTTCTTATAAACATAGAAATCACATTCGAAAACAGCTTTCCTTTTTACATTTCGGCAAATCGATAAGCAGAATAATGATAAAAAGTCAAAAACAAACTGTGATGTTTTTACAAATTTATTGAGAAAAATATAACCGGTTTGGAGTTCGCAGAAAAAATAGCAATTTCTATTCTTAACACTAAAAGTTGGTAGTCAGACTGTTTTCACAGAAGATAGCAAAATCAATTGTTAATTTGTTTCCAAGTTAAAAAAAAAGTACTTTACCAAAATCATCCAATGCCACAAGCTTTATGACTCCAAATGGTATATCGTGCAGAACAAGAAAATGAATCAAGAAATAAGCTGGCTACTTCTACAAATAAATTCATTTAAAAAATAATTAATTTCTTAAGTCCAAAAAAATCAAGTTACAGGCACAAAAGCAGCAAATAAGATGGCCAGCAGTTTTATGAATTTTAAGTTTTAAAATGGACAAAAATTTTTTTTCGGCGGAAATGCAGGAGAATACTATTACATGCAACATCAGTTACTACGATACCACTGAACTAACCACCATGTTATCGTACGGAAAACCGTCCAACAACCATTTTATGAATTTGCGTCACTTTCCGCGTTCTGCCAAAAACTGAAAAATCAAGTATTCCATTGGTTTTGAAAATATGGAAATTTCTAGTTTTTAAAGTTTCTTCTGTAAAATGAAAAGGAAACATAAATAAATTCGAACGCCAAATATAATTTAGCAATAACTTCTATCCAATTTTGGGAAGTCTCATTTATAGTTTTGGCAGTTGCTGAACTTACCATATACCGCCATCTTGCAATTTCTTACCTATTTAGCGCACTCTAGAACGAGGGTGACTTAGAAAAACTGTGTTCTCTACCAACATTGGAAATGATTGTGACACAGTAAAGACCCAGCAATATGTTGTATAAATAGGGCAGCCAAATCACGGTTCTATGAAATTTTATACAGAAGCCAAACCGGCAAAAAGTGACACTTAAATCATTAAAATCTTTTAATTGTATGAACAAGTTTCGTTCGGTAGTTAAAATTTAAGAGTATTATAAAATTCTCTACAAACCAAAAGAGATAATATCACATTTAAGGGAAATTGAAAACATACAACGAAATAAACTGTTACTCATTCATATTCCTACAAATGACCTGAAGAAGAGAACGACAAAATAGGGACAATAGAGAGTTGGACTCACTGAAACATAATCAACGAAATAATAAGAACGGTGGAAGGAACTTTAAGGTTGCTAACCATCCCAAAATAGTGAAATCGAAGTAATGGCATGGGAAGAAAAATAACTAAGCTAAAGGAATTTAAATAAAACACTTTTTCTCAGAGAAATGGAAGTTTAGAACTCAAATACGAAATGTGGAATACCTGCGTTTAAAGCATAATAGTTATCGTAATTTTTCATCAAAATATATAAGAAGCAAATAATGACCACCACAAAAGAAAAAAAATTCACAGAAAATGACGAAAACAACGAACAACAAATCAGCATGTAGCTCTACAAACCGAAGAGAAAGAAGATACAGGTGATGAATCCAAGGTCAAGTTTGCGGTGATTGTTGCTGTTGTTGTTGCAGACCGAGTGCATTAAATAAACGTGATTTTAAGCCAGATGACGATTGTGATTGAGTCATACCACGATGCGTTTGTGAAGCAGCAGCAGAAGACATTAGCGAATCATCTGCATATGTACTAGCAGCCGTTAACATTGAGTTGTTAACACTGACTGACACAGGCGGCTCATGCTGCAAATAATCCAAAACTATACACTACATTCATTAGAGCAGAAAAACACCAGCTTTTTTAGGGAGAAGGGGAGGAGCTCGATGAAAAAAGAAATTGAAGCCAAGACATATGGAAAGAGCATTCACAACACAACAGTCAACAAAAACAAGATATTGACATTTTATGTTGATGTAGGAATCTTCGGAAACGATTTCCTTTTATCAGTATCTTTCATAAATAAGGAGCTGCATTAAATAATAAAGAACAGGGTTGAAAAATTTTCCAAATACATCAGAATGCAAAAGTTTCTTCGACTTAGACAACACCACAAACAAAAATCTAGGCATGCAAAAAATGAGAAAATTGAAAAAAAATACTTCGCAACTTTGAAAACTTATAAAACTATCAATCAAAGAAAGACCAATATTTACATATATTTAAAAAACGACATCAAGAATGAAGCAGTAAATCCTTTTCTCCATAACAGATATCGCGATCGTGAGAAGAAAAATAAAGATCTAAGTGATGCGCGATTTGACAGCAACTTTAAGTATACGCTGCTTTGCACTTTACTGCCAGTAGAACATTAGTTACCCACTTACGGAAGTACATGGAAAAAATATTTCAATATTTGCATCCCTTTTAAAGAACTTAAATTTCATTAAGGGAAAGTTACCCTAAAATGGAAAACTGCTCACATCAAATAGAATTTTCTAAATCAAGTACCCAAATGATTCCTAAATTTTCAAAAAGCATCAAAGAAGTCTTCTCTCTTATCATATTTCTGACATCTTTGAATAAACTTAATTCCCTTTTGCAATAATGCACTGAATACCAAAAACACAAAACACCGAATCCAACAAAAGCTTATACACATTATAAGAGAAGACAATATTCACAAATACAAGCAGTTTGAACAAACCTCAACACCTTCATGAGGTGGTGATAAGCCGGTTGTATGTTCGGCAATCAAGCGAGCTACTTTCGCCTGATGAGTTGCATCCAAGCACTACAAAGCTTGACAAACAATCTGCCCATTTTTAAACTGCATTTCATAGAATTTAAATTTGCAATGAAAAAAAAAAGTAAGGGCCAGAAATCAGCATAAAATTTCTGTACAAAGCTTAAAATATTACAAACATTTGAAACGCAATTTATCACAGCAATCAGAAACATTTGAAAATAATCAAAAAATCGAAACAAAATTAATAATATCTCCATGATTACTTGTTCCCCAACAGTTAACAACTGAACAAATGAGGAAATTAAGAGGCTCCCCAAGACATGATGCAGTTCTTTCAAGAGACAAAATCAAAAACTAGAAATAGCTTACCTGTTTTTTGGCTCGCAATGCAGCATCTTCAAGAGTTTCCGCCGCTTCGTACTTCCCTTGACGTCTGTACAATGCTCCGAGATTCTTCAACGTAGTGGTTACTGTTGGACTGAAATGAAATCTAAAAGTTTCAAAGTTGAAAACTGAATAACAGAGTATATGAAAACAAGTAATATTATGGTACTCACAATACGATTATTTAAGATACTTAAAATTTTTGGACAAAGAACATGTTTCAGGCTATCCGTTTTCAGCGGTTGGAAAAAGGAACTACTGCTCATGTTAAAGTTTTCCAGGGGAAAACACGGAATGATCACAGAAAAAAGACAAAAAATGGAATTCATGAGCTCAGAATTTCAGTACTTAACAGATCACCTATCAACTTTCGCAGCTTTATGCCAACCACCATACTCCTGATACGTGCTTGTATCACCACTTCCGCCTTTATGCTTATTCTCTTCACGATCTTCAGCAATTTGCCAAATTGGCTTATTGTTATCCGCTACTTTCCCAAATTCACGTTCATGAGCTCGAGTCAATATCTGTTTATAGAGAATTTCAGCGTCCTGAAAATTCTGTGACTAGAAAATTTCATCAGAAGAAATACTGCTATAATCATAATAAGCATCACTGAAAACTGTTTGGACCAGAAAATACTCCTAAAACAAGAACTAAAAAACGACGAATAC